ACATTGTGGGTGTAAAATTCCACGATGGAGCAGCTGTTTAACCAGCTGGGACGATCACTCTGCTTTCACACTGGTCAATTCCAACCACAGTCCTGTCAGCTACACTTGTCTGCTCAGCTGACTAAAAACGTCTGGATAAAACCGGGCAGATCTTCGTTTAATTTCTACTTTCATTAGCAAGCTACTGGTGGCAAGCTGCCGGGCCAGGAGCCACGGCGGCACGGTGTGCGAAGCCTGCGGCGCAGGACCCTCGCTGGGGCACGGTGGCCTCTGCAGCGCTCGTCGCTTCCCCGGCAGCGCGGGGGGAAAGCGAGAATATCCCTTTTCCAAGAGAAAACGGGGAGCGTGCCGACGTGTGGGGTGTGCCGCCAGCCTCACTCTGCACAGGCCCGGGACACAGGTGCCCGGAGCCGCGGGGGTCTCAGCGCGGCACCCATCGGAAGCGGTGCCCGCCGGCGGCGGTGCGCAGAGTGAAGGCGTTTCCCTGCGGGAAGGCCAGGGTGCGGATGGCGCCCGCCTCCCCCAGCGCCGCCCGCAGGCTGCCGCCCCCCTCCAGCTCCCGGCCGGCCGGGCGCGGGGAGGCGCGGCCGGTGCGCAGCCCGCGGAAGGCGCCGTGCAGGCGCGGGTCCGGCCGCGGCCGCTTGGCGGTGGGGCTGCCCCCGGGGCTGCCCCCCGACCTGTCCCCCGCGCTGCCCCCCAGGCTTCGCAGGGCGGCGCGGCACTTCTCCGACACAGCCCGCAGCATGGCGTCCACGCCCTCCGCGTCCTCCAGGCTGGTCCCGGCCGGGGCTGCGGCGGCGGCAGCAGCGGCGGGAGGAGGAGGCAAAGGATGAAAATGAGGAAGAGGGACTGTCTCTTCGGCGCTTTGCGGGAGCATCAGCGTCTGCCGGCGAGAGGGAGCGCGAGTTCCGAGATCTGCGCCGCACAGCCCCGTCCTGTTCCGCACCACACTGTTCTCCACTGCTCCATCCCATACCGCATGGCCCCCTCCCACACCTCGCTGCCCTGCCCCGAGCCGTACCATGCTGACCGACCCCCACTGCCCTGCTCCACCCCGCACTGCTTTACCCGACACCACGTACCAATCCACGTTGCCCTCTGCCCCACACCACCCTGTTCTGCACCACACGATGCCCAAAACACCACACTTCACAATCCCATTCCACATCTCCCCCCAACCCAGGCCCTGTCCCACCCCATGCTGCCTCGCCCTGCACCCTATTCTCCTCTGCTCCCGACATCACACTGTCCCCCAGGGACAAGCTGGGCCGTGGGGCAGGCAGGCCATATGGTGAGCAGCACTCACATCAAGGACAGCGGCCAGCTGCCTGGCCTGGCTTGCCAGCTCCTTCAGCTGCACGTTGCTCTCCCTCAGTGTCACCAGCTCTTCTTGCTTCTGCGTGAGGGTCTCCTGCAGCTGCAAAGGACAAATGAGGAAAAGGGTGGTTGAGACAGCCACATCGTCCAGGAGCCTGCCCTGCAGTTGCCTCAACAGGATGCAACAGAACACAGTGCAGGCTGGGGGCTTCAGGGTCTCTACCTGGCTGTTTGCTTCCAGGGCATCTCCCAGTGCTTTCTGGTGTTGGTCAGCCAGGTCCCTCCAGCACAGCTCAGGGGAAGACAGGTTCTGTGGGGGAATCTGCACCAGTGTGCTGCTCTGCAGCTGCGGAGTGCAGGGCCCAAAAGTCACCTCCTCACCAAGTGAGAAATCATAGTCAGTACAGTCCAGTGGTGGTGGCATTAAGGTGGATACATCTGGAAGGAATAGCCACAAGTGTTAAGTGGAGCTATTAATGTCTGTTCTCCCCAACCCCAGCATACCATTCTGGTTCTAAACACCCCTCTGGATGTTCACTCTGGGCATGTCCCTCTGAAATGCTTTTACTCTAGAGAGCTGTGCACCCTGAATCTGTTTGGATTTAATTTGTCTCCTGTGTGAAAAAACTCAGCGACAGCTCAAGTCTCTAAGGAAGTGAGCAGGAATGCACTATCTCACAGACTATCCCATGGTGGGACAAACACAGTGAGTGGGCATCTAAAATTCCAAAAGCAAAGCAAAAAAGGAATCTGAATGCAGCATGACTGCAGATGTGCACACACAGGTACATTTGGCTCAGGTAAGGAAAAACATCTACTTGCCAGGTATAAAATCACCGACAGTATCCCTGAATTCCTGGAAATCAAACTCTGGCCCATCCTGGAAGCAGGGACCCTGCCAGGGGTGAAGGAAATGATACAGTGAGCAGGGCTCAGGGCTCAGACCTGCCTACACCACTGACCATACTGTTTCAACAGTGTCTGCTACCTGTGCTCAGCACCTCATCACAATTCCAGCACCCCCAGGCACCATCCCCTCGCCACTTGCAACCCATCTGACACATGGGACAAGATGCTGTCCTCTGCTGTGCCCATTTCTCAGATGGGAAACCTGAGGCTAGGGAAGTTGCTAGCATCCATCTGCTTGAGAGAGCTACCCCCTTCAGGTGCAAAGAGCAGCCTAGGCTTCTCTGAACAGTAGGTTTACCTGCTGCAGGGTCACAAGGCCAGCTGGGGTGGTGGGAAGCATGGGGGCAGAGGCTGTCAAATCCTGCCAGTTGATGGTGCTGAGCACTGGGGACAGTCAGAGACAAAGATGAGTAGCACGGGCAGAGGTGGACGTAGCGAATGGAGCATGGCAAAATGAGAAGCACGTCTGGGGAGCATCTTCGATGTGCACGGCCAGGGAATACAAGACTGGGAAACAGGATGCAAAGCCACCAAGGAGGATACAGTGGGATTCATGGAGAGAGGTCATGGCCGGGGAATACAGTGGAGGGTAAGGTGGGGGTATCAAGACTGGGGAGCACGGTGGGGGACGCCAGAGGGGCGCAGAAGGAGGAACGGGGAAGGGTACACGCCAGGGGGTTAAGGCTGTCCGCCGCAGGCTGACTCACCCAGGGCGGGCGCGGCGGCGGCCGGAGAGGCGCCGCTGCGGCGCGGACGGGGCGGGGGAGCTCGAGGGCTCAGGGCGGCCGGGGGCGTCCACACCGTGCCCCCGCCGGGCCGGGCCGGCTTCTTGGCTAGGCGGGCGGGCGGGCCCTGGACTGTGTTAGGGCAGATGCTGCCGAAGGCTCGGCGGCGGCCGCCCTGCTCCATGCTGACGCCGCGGCCCCGGCCTCGGCTCCAGCTCCGGTGCCGGCGGGCGCCCTCCGCCCCCCGTGCCGCTCGGCGCCGCCCCGCGAGCAGGGGCGCGGGGACCACGGCCATGGCGGGGGCTGCCCGCCCGCCTTCACTTCTCCGGGGCGCCGAAACCTCCCGCCACCTCCCTGGGCCGCGCCGCCGGCTCCCGCGCCCGCGGAACCCGGCCCCGCGCCTGTGGAGCCTGGGCGGGCCGAGGGGCTGCCCCGGAGGGAAACTGGAGGAGAGGCGCTGCCTGCCGGCCCGCCACCTCGGCCGCCGTGCCCCCAGCAGCTCGGTGCCGCGCTCACCCCCGCGGATCTCTGCCGGGCAGCGCGGGCGCCAGCCTGGGGGCTGGGCTGGTTTTCATAATGGTGTTTGTTAAATCTCTCTAAGAGGTAGGGTCCGTCTGTGTTGAAAGCCACGGGGAACGGGGGGGGCCGGGTGGGGGGGTATGTTACGTAGGAAAAAAAATCCTGTCCATGGCATCTTGAATGCACCGATCCGCGCACCGGGAGCGGATATCCTCGCGTCGGCAGCGGGTCTTACCCGCTGCTACGGCATGTCCAGCTGAAATCACCGACGGGGTTGGCGGAGGTTGAGTTGCCCTTAATTCCCCAGTGGTGGTCTTGTAGGTATTTTTTATAACAGCAGCGTGGACAAGGTTTGCCCGTTCTGCCTCAATACCTGACGGCAGGCAGAACTTGGAGCGCCGCCCGGCGTCCGGGTTCCCCCTGCGCTGAAAGGTGAGCACTCCCTAGGGCAGCTCAAGATGTCTATGTCTTTTAACACTACTTTTGTAGACAGATACACATAAAGAAAGTTAAGTATTTTACAACACTATGACTGTTTTCTGCCTTTGAATGTGCCAACCTACTCAGGAGCGTGCATCTGGATTATAGACCTGTTAGAAAACTAAATAAACAAACAAACCAACCCAGCTCTTGTTATTATTCTACACTGTTTTCCGACACTTACGTCAATGTATTTATTTTTGTTTTCCCTCTGAGCCATGACCAAGCCAGTAGGTTTGAAACGGGTGAAATAAAACCCCATAGACTGACCATAGAGCAGGTACTTTTTAATTGGAGATGAGGGGGATTTCTTCACCTAACTCACCCACCTTTTTCAAGTGCTGTGGTTTATTTATACAGTAAGTATTGCTTAATATTGCTACATCATTATAATGTCATCATATATGCACAGGAACTGATTTACATAATGTTATCTCATGGTTATAAATTGTTCTTCTGTACTGTGCTTGTGCTTCCCCAATTTAGGTGGTCTTAAAGGTCTTCTTCAATGAAGGCGTAAGGTGTTCCTCACACCTGAACTTTTCAAATTTGTCTTCAGAGCATGCACTGTTATGGTGTTCCTTGGTTTTGTATCTAAGTGGTCTAAATTCATCATTTTGTGGCTAATTTGCTTTACATTTGCTAATTACTAATTAGTACATCCTGCTGCTTCTCAGTATAGTTATACCTGTCTATTTTTTAAACTACTTACCTATTTTTGAAACTATTCACCTGGTGAGTTTCTGTTTAATTACGCATTAAGCAACTAGTGAACCATATACTGGCTATTACATTGTGTAGAAAGTCATGATTCGGGTTATATTGGTATCTTATAACGCAAGATGTATAAATATCTTGTAACTTTGACTCAAGTTATATAGGCATCACAGGGAATGACACTGTTGGGCATTTTTATTTTGTGGGGGATTGAGTTAACTGACAGGGTGAATTCGTTATGTGCCAATGTGTTTCCTCTCCCAGCTGTGTTGGCACACCGCCAGCAAATAAACGTATAGAGGTAACAAGCAGAAAAGATTCAGCATTCAGTTGGTCCTTACAACGTCATCTTTATGGACCACCCTCCAATTAAATAACACAGTACGTGAGATTCAGTAAATTATTTACATGCTGGACTTAAACAAAATACAGCAAAGGGACAGTGCAGATGACATGACACATAAAATCATTTGCAAGACGCCATCTAATTTTTAAGCACCAGTGACATTAAGGTTTAGTGGATCAGACTGCACCGACTCTGTGGAGCACAAACGCCGAGCCAGAGCCGTCCCCACCACCACCCGCTGTCAGCGGTCATCCCCAAGCCAGGGGCACTTCTGGGCCACCTCCGATGGCAGCAGGAGAGACAGGGACCGCCCGTTCAGAGACACCAGGAGCTGAAGCTGGTCCATGCAGTCCCGCAGGAGCTCTTCCGGGTAGCCACTGATTCGCAGGTCCAGGGGGCTGCAGTGCCGCAGGAGCCGGTCCGCAAGCCCCAGGCTGCTGGCGGCCAGCAGAGAGGGCGCGTATTTGGTGAAGGCATAGTCAGCCAGGCTGAGCTCCGCGACGCCCGCCGCCAGGCTCCGGGCGTCTGCCGCCTCCCCCGCATTGGCCCCCCGAGCCTCCAGCCGCACCTGGCTAAAGTGCTCCAGGAAGAAGCTGACGGTGGGCGCCGCCAAGTCGAAGTTCAGGCGATGCAAGACGATGCACTCCAGATTGCGGAGCTGCTGGCGAGTGAAGGCGTCGCAGCAGAGGGAGAGGAGCTCTTTCACGCTAGGAGGGTGCACCTCCACCTGCGGGTGGGGACAGGAGTGAGGACGCTTCCGCCGGGAAGCAGTGCGGGAAAGCTGGCGCGGAGCCCGGCCCGTGTGTGGCCCACTCAGGCTGGGCTCAGCGGGCCGCCACCGCCGGTGGCGGGGCAGCCGGGGCCGCCCCTACCTGTTTGCAGGCGATGAGCAGTGCTGTTACCCCCAGGAGCTGGAAGCAGTCGGCGGCCACTGGGGTAGTGGCGAGAAAGCGGTCGAGGATGTTGACGGCCAGGCAGAGTGCCTCCAAGGAGAGTCCGAAATGCCGGTGCACGGGGATGAGCCAGCTGACGAGCTTGCAGCGCGCCTCTGCCGTCACCTACGGCACCGGCAGCGGGGATCAGGCGGAGCCGACTCCGGGCTCCCCCGCCCTCTCCCCGCCGCCGGCCCCGCTGCCCCCACCTGCGGCTGCCGGGCGAGCGGCTCCCGCGGCTGGAAGCGGCTCTCCAGCCCCTTGCGGGAGCGGTACCAGCTCTCTCCGTAGTCGCGGAAAGCCTGCAGCTCCTGAGCGTTCCCTCCCGCCGCCGCCGTCCCCGTCCCCAGGCGCCGCCGCCGTGCCGGGCGCCGCGGGCAGCCCCCAGGGGAGCCGCCGGGCCCCCGACGCTCCGGAGTGCCGCCGCATCGCACGCTCGCCGCCGTCACCATGGGGTGGGCGGCCGTGCCAGGTCCGCTCTGGTCGCGGCGCGGGCTATTTGAGCGGAGCGGTGGCCGCCAAAGCTGTCATGGCCCGCCTCCCGGGCACCCCGCCCCGCCCGTCCCGTCGTCTGGGCACTTAGGGGACCACCGTCTCCAAAACAAAATCCCAGCCACCGAAACGTCTCTCTTCTCTGCCGCTTGCCCTCGGGCCAGAAGGCTATGGTGGAGTCGCCATATGAGCCCCCGACCACGGCCTCCCCGCTCTCGCGCGGCACAGAGAGCAAACCAGGTATCAGTGCCGTCAACCCAGCTGAAGCTGCTGCATCGATTTTTGCCATTACCAACGCAGGCGTCTCTCCAGCTCCTAGCAGTTCAACTCAGAACCTCGTAAACTTTAACAGCGACTTATCACTGCCCATAAGTAACACTTCCAGTGCAGGTCACCAGAAACAGCACAGGAGGAAAGCAGGGGAGAGAGCCAGGAATGCCGGAGCTCACGATGCAATCAGGGTCTCAGTTACACTTTCATCCATTGACTATTTATGTGATGGGTCACTATTTTAAACAGCTGAATGCAGGGAAATTACAACAGTCCTGCACTCCAACCACCCATTTATTGTGTGCTGTAGATGTGTAAAGACCTAGAGAAAGAAAACCTCTTCTGGGTTAAGCACTGGGAAAGATGGCAAGAGCTTAAAGAAGCCAAGGAGGGGATAGAAGTAAAAGGGAGGAGGTGGGAATTCTACCACATGAATGGCAGGAACAGGAACTCCTTTCTAAGGTGAGGTCAGAGACCAGGAGAACATGCTAACTTTAACAGAAAGAAATAACACATTTCAGGCCACAGCTAAGATCCAGAGATACTGAATGGTCTTGTGTCTGACAAATGCTTTGAGAAAAATAACACATCGTTGTTATCAGAAGTCTTTATTAAATAAATAGAACAAAAGAGGAAGTTCATCCACCCAAAAGAGTACAGGCACAAGAGTTGCTCACGTAGACTGCAGAAGCAGAAAGCCAGTGTAGCATCTGGGTTTTCTTTTTTTTTTTTTNTTTTTTTTTTTTTTGTTTTTTTTTTAAGATAAATGTGCTTATCTGTACACCACAGTGTGATCGCTTTAATTTGTTTTACAGAAAACTGTTGCTCACACAGAAGATCGTGCAATTTCCCAGTTACTACAATATATCCCCTTAATTTATTTCAGTTATTTATTTAGAAGATCACAAAGCACAGCATGCTAGAGAAACACAAGGAATAACTCTGAATTCAACATTACCACTTATAAATGGAAAAAACCTCTTATTCATCATAATAAGGGAGAAGAACTCAAACACAATTCACACTTTCCCTAGGATTTAACCATTTAAGACCAACAATTCATTTGCAAAATTCAAATCCAAAAGAAAAAGCAACTTGCTAATTACTGAATTACCAAGATGCTTTTCTACTTTCCATTTCCAAAGGATACAAATAAAACATACCAACCAAAACAAAACCTAGGAAGTTTGTTTAGGGTACAGATTTAGTTTATATCTTCAATTAATATAATTTGAAAATTTTTATTTCAGTGTGGGAATACTGAAGTAAAAGTTGAGATCTTAAGGTCTAAGATTAAAACTTCCTGTTCAAATGCTTCCTTGCATAAATGTGTTGCAAAAAACCCATAAATGTCAATTCCTGTCTCCTATGAAATCAGGACTACCACTACATTATCATAATGCATAAAACAATAACAGATATGATCCCTGTTCCTTTAGAGCTGTTAGCAAACAGCTTTCCTCTTCCAGAACTGCTGTAAGCTAGTGTGCACCAACTGGACAGCAATCTCAGTCCCACTAGGATAATCTAAATGGATAGGCTCCATATTTTGCATTTTTATGCATTCAATTGCCTGAGTGCCCTTTCTGTACGTGATTAACCTCTGCTGTATAAAATCTTCAATTTTTCAGATTAAACAAAAGTTGTCATCTGCACTGTGCTTCTGTCTGTGAAGACAGTTCCTATTCAATTGCAACTGTTTAATGGCAAATCCTCCCTACCAATATATTCCTTATTCTTGAAAACTAAGTTGGCAATCTAAAATTGCAGTTCATAATTAGAAACACTGTGGATAGGTGGAATGTATCAGACCATCTGATTCATGAAGCAATTCAGTTAAGGATTATTCAGTATTACAGAAACAAGAAATAAAGGCTCACACAGACAATCCAGTCATCGTGAGTGAGTAGGGTAGGAGAGAACAGCCAGTGAAGTTTCCACTAGGAGCTTCTCTGGTATTTCCTTAGAAAGGGTCAATGTGAACTTTGATTAATAAGAGAAAAAAAAACACATGATCATCTCTTGAAGGGGACCTGGAGAACTATGCAAAACTTAACATACAAAATAGGGAAAGCAACATTTAGTACAGTTGCAGGAATTGCAAGGATCAGGGTAAACAGGGAGGAACAAATGTGAGAAGAGGCACATCCTCTGTGGGAAAAGCTGCTGGTCAGTACACACTTTGCTGAGCACTCATTCACGGCAGTCCATGCTATCATCTTATAGATACTTATAGAGCATCTTCTCAATGTAAATCATACAGAAAAATTAAGACTCCTCTAAGAGGTCTTGGTTTAATACTGTAAATAACAGTTCCAAAAAAAAATTTAAAAATCATCACTTAGGAAACCTGTATGAGAAACATTTGTCTTCAGTTTGCATACATGGAATTCTATTCAACTGAGTTCAGTACACACTGTATTGATGATATGATTAGCATATTAAGTTTAAAAAGAGAAATGGCTGTGAACAATTCCTATTTTAAAAAAACTGCTTGCAGTTATCTTTCAGTCAGGACAAATGGCATAAAATATATGGTAAAGGCTAAACATATCCAATGTTCATCTTTAAACTGATAAAAAGAAAGGCTGATCCTATGCAAAATCATGCAGTCTATCCCCATCATGGCTGGTATCAACCACACTAAGAATTTAAATTCTTCCAATTAATGTTGGTTTGCATATTTCTCCTGCAATTACTGAAGCTGTGATTTGTTACTGATTTCTGATTTCAGTTACCACTTTCTGTTTTTATCAGCTCTTTGATGATGTATAAGACCTTGTCATCTAGAAAAGAAAAAAAAAAACACAGTGTGTAAAAAAGAAAAGCTTAAAAACTGATTTTCAAAATTACAAAAATCGTAAGAGAAGTCTAGCTCTCAGCAACTTAAAATTTTAATGCTTTAGGCTATGCCAGAATCTAAAGCAAAAGAAGAGATTATTATCTGGTAAGCAAAAAGACAAACCATACGTACGCAGTACATTATCATAAAATTATTTGATGAACTGCTGATGACCATTTCAGTAGTCCTCAAATGAGATTGGGGAAGTTGTGGGTTATACATCAGCATACAGGAACTGCCTTTCTTCCCCACCTACAACATGCTCCTGAACATCCAGCATCCAAATTTTAAATTGTGCTCCGCTATCCCCTACTTTTGGGAACCAACATTTTTTAACCCAGATTTTGAGACAACTTGCATAACACTGATAAATCATCCATGCCTAGGATTCTCCACACATAACCTCAATTCCACTTGGAGATGCTTGTCTCACCATTACTACCACTATCTTGAATGCTGTTACCAGGGATATCTTTAAAACAGCAGATCTTTGTACATCTGGGGCAAGACAACAATATATGCAGGGTTAGAAATGACTTTCTGGACACCTCTTAATGGAACTTTCATATCACACATGCTACTGTGTGAGGATGCAGTGTGCTACTGATTCCTCAATTTCGCTACAAAGTCCATTTAACAAAGAGTTACCTTCAAGCGACATCTGGGGATTTTCAAGCTTCTTCTTCAAAACAGACTCAATTAGAACTCTCAGCTGTTTGAAAATCACTGCTATCTTAACAGGAGCCTATAAAGAAAAGACAAACACTTAGTCATCAGATATTTCACACCAAACTACACATCAAAATATTACCCTACATACAAATAGGAGTTTATAACAAGATCCCTGCAAAATATGTGATTTTTAATGGTAATGATAATTGTGATGGATAGTATACTAATTAAATGACTGTGCTTACATTATGCCTTAGCTTTAAGTACCAGCTGTTCACAGTATCAAAGCCTGAAGAACAGCAGTTGAGAAGGGTAACTTATAATGTGTTCCCACATAACCAGCATAAGAGGAAATAATTACTTTACCAATAAGCTGAGCAATTAATTGCCTTTTTACCCCCCAAGGTAACAAAGTTCAAATTACATTTACACCTGAAATAAAACAGCTACACCATTTACCTCTTGGGAGGTCTGCCAGGCCTTCTGACAAGGCATTCACAAGCCTTTTCTAAATATCATCATGAATTTGGATACCTAAAATTGAACCCTCTCCCAAAAATATTTAATTTTCTCCTTTCCTCCCTATTTCAATCTTTATTTCATTTATATGCTGCCTTTGGTACAATAAGTAGCTGCTGTAGCAGAAGCACAAAATGCAAGGTATTTTGCTTAGCATCTCAGTAGAAAATTAGAAATTCTGAAACACTCTGTAAGATGTGATTAGCACAACAACTGCATAACTGTAGTTATCCAGGGACCAAAAAAAAAAAAATCTCTAACAAATCCACAAGGGATTATTAAAATTCCCTGCTCAGGATAATCAGAGTTAAATTAGATGACTGCTTACTTGAATCAACAGACTGCAAAAAATTGTTTTGTTGGTTATAGTTGTCTTAAAGAGGGGCACAAGACCCAGAGCACAGAAGGAGCACTGAAAATCATAACAAATAGCTGCCTGGATAGCAAAACCCACTGCTTGCCATTTACCAGAATTTACAGAGGAACTTTTATGACAACTATTTTGTCTGCAAAGATATGCTAGGAAAGTGCTCTCTATTTTCCAATTTCCAAGTAAAACTTATACATGCAGAAAGGAAAAAAATTTAATCAAGAAAACCAAACACCCCAAACCCAAGTAAGCAGCTGTTTTACAATTTCGATTTTTTTTTTCCCAAA